TATTAAGACTTGAGCCGGCGGGCGCGCTGAACCGCCAGCCCCGGCTGCCGTTATCGCTGCTGCACTAGAAGTTATAGCTGTGGCGGCTGTCGAACCAAGAACCGGCTGGGTGCCAACCATGAAGATCGCCACCCTGTTCGGCAGCTCACGGGTATCCGGAATACTGTTGCCATCGGAACAGCCCCCAAGCCGCCCATCATGTAGCTGATACATTGAGTTGGTCTCGCCTGTGGACGACTCATCATCAGAGAAGATGGTCGTCTCACCGCCAGAGACAGAGCCTTCCAACTCAGCCCCATGGGTAAACCCAACGAAGACATGCCTTACGACGGGTTGAGCCCGGGCGGGTCGTGCACGCTGAGCCGTCTCGATGATGTCGGTGCAGATGTCCGGCTCAGGGCCCGGCTCGTCGATCTTGCCGATGAAGACGTGGATTCCGCCGAAGGGGACCCGGTACCCGTACTCAATTGAGTCAGCCTCGAGGGACCAGCCTGCATCGTTTGATGTAGAGCTTGCCGCGGTGACTCTGGTCATCCGGCCCACAACATATCTCTTGAGACCTTCGAAGCTGCCCTTAAGAACTCAAAACCACCGTGCGCGGGCCCCACGTGAGCGTCAACTGTCATGGAAGTGTCGCGGCAGATGTTCTCATAGAAGGACTTAGTTGTGGAGCCATTGCGACGAGGTTAGTTTAAAGGGGTTAAACGGGACAAAGGACACGGAGAGTTTATACTGGTTCGGCCCCTTGCGGTGAAGGTAAAGGCCTACTCCAGTTTGAGGTGGTATTGCTAGGGTTTCGATTACCAGGGAGCAAACACGCTTTGCCTGGCTTTCGATTTGTTGTCTCTTCCCCTAAGCCATGGCCGGGTCGTCCCCTTATATACATGGCTTGACGCCCTGCAGCCTACAAAGTCCCGGCCAGCTCATACAAACGTGTCCGGCTTGGTGACTTATCTTACATGTCTTACAATACAAGTTTACATATACATGGCGGTTTACACTTACGGGCCTTAAGCCGCACCCAGACTTGGGCCTTTTAACAAGCCTATCTATGAACCGCCATCCTTAGTATATTCTTAGGCTTCATTTAGATGAACCGTCATAATGGATGACCCGGCCCCTCCTGGGCTGGTCATATCTGATAGTCATATCTTCAACATTTTTCTATGTAGAATAGGAACTAATCCTTCAAATTTCAAAGAAGAAAAAGTATTAGTCTAGACTCAAATGGAAAAGTTTGTGCATCAAATGACATTTTTTTTCTATAGAAACAGAGATACATGTTATCTCATTTCATATGATTTTTGTATTCTTTTTCTATAAACCAAAGGAGATCTTATACGTTTCTAAATTTCTTCACAGATTTCTTTATAAAACATTAAAATTGCCATTTTGCTAAGTTTTGTTTAAAACATGTTCATAAGGTTCTGGTAGGTGGCATATGTGGCAGTGGCGGTGGCACCCCCACCTTCAAATTCACGGCCACCTCTGGCGCTGGCAAGGCATTGCAGAAAAAGTAGACACCAAGAGAGAAAGAGAGATGGATTTCAAGCACTATTTTACCTCTGTCCGATGCTCTGGCCTTCAGCAGTAAAGCCACACCACCGGCTGCCAAACATTGTCCTGAATGTCTCCTTCTAAATTCTTCTATGCTCTCCCTTTCCCTCGAAAACCATTTAAAAACACATTGTTGAGTAACATAATTGTATTAGAAAACATATGTTAGACTAGGAAATATTATGGCTTACCTTGTATTTTAAGTAGATCATGTACTTCTATATATATGCCCATGAGGCTCAAGCAATACAACGACAATACCATCACCAAATCCCCCCTCTCTCTTCTAACTTGGTATCTATCGCAAGTCGATTCTAAACCCTAGCCGCCGTCGCTTCCGCATCCAAGCGCCGCCCCCGGGGCGGTCGGTCTCCATGACCGTCGTCGGAGGCCGCGCCGCCCGTACCTAGCGTTCGTCCACCGGCCGTGCTGGCCGGCTACTCTACAGAGTTTTTTTTCGAGCCCTTGCTTTGGGTTTTTTTTCGCTCTCTCGCCGGTCGTTTTGATTGGCATTTTTCTTTTTGATTTTTCGATCTAATTTTGATTGGTTTGCGTCGCCCGCCGCCGCCTTCGACTCCGTGCGTCTCTACTCCGACCCCGGCGCGACCAGCCGGCCTCTCCTTCGACCCGACGGTCACGCGCGCCGAGGGGGCCCGTCCGGGCCAGCCGTCGTCCGCGCGTCAGTCCGCCCGTTGCCCTGCGCCGGCCGTCACCGCCCTGCTTCGACCGGGACACTTGCATCGCCCCGACCCGGCGGCCTCGCACTATGCGACGACCAATCATAGTCGTCGCTCGCGCGCCGACCCGCCCACCGATCCACATCACCCGCCTTCGCCGCGTCTGCACAGCGGCCCGGCGGTCTACCTCGCCGGCCTCGTTCTCGGCTGCGTCGGGACGGCTACGTCAGGCTCGTCGGCTGCCTCAACTCGGATGTCGCTGCTCCGTTGGTCGCTCGGGCCTCACTGCCCAGGCGCCGGCGCTGCTTTGGCAGCTTGGGTGCTGGTGCTGACAAGCTTGTCCGCGATGTCCCACGGCGTCCGTCGTCGCCGGCTTCATCATGGACTCCGCCGCCACCACGCCTCCACTGAGCGGCGTCCCCGACCTCGCGCGCGATCGGCTTGATCACCTGCTCGCCGCCGCGATTCGCCTCATCTACGTCATGCGACCGACCTGGCCCGTCGGCTATGCGCGCCTCCGCAGGTCCCGTGAAGATCGTCCCCGAGTTCAGCGCGCCTCTCCACCGATCGAGCATCGGGCTGCCACTGCGTCGCCCAGTTGGGCTACAGCGCCGCCACCCCGTGGTTCTCCTCGCGGCTGCATTGACTCGTGCATCGCCGATGCGTCACCCCTTCGGGCCGTATTTCCGCGATACGCGGTCCCCGCCACCGCCCCGAGACCGTCCCCGCGGCTGCACCGACTCGTGCACCGCCGTTGCGTCGCCCCGACCCGCCTGCCGCCGCTGCGTCGCCCCGACCCGCCTGCCGCCGCTGCGTCGCCCCTTCGGGCCGTAGCGCCGCGGCCCGCGGTCAGCTCCGTCGTCACATCGCGTCGACCTCCCGTGGTATGTGCCGCACCGTCTTCCTTGGCGCGGGAACGCCACCGTCCGCGCCGGTCTTCGTCACGCTGTCAGAGTTCTTCGCCTACTTTGAGCACTGCTGCCGCACTTCTAACCTAGCCGCCGCCGCTCTTCTTTGGCCGCCGCCGCCCGTCCACCCCGTTCGTCTTCGTCCAGCACTAGCCCGTCACCAGCGTCGCCGTCATCTACCCTGACCACTTCGTCTACTCCGACCACCGTTGGTGACATCGGCACCGCGCCGATGGACGCCGCAATCGTCATTGAGTTCTTCTCTGCTGGTCCCTCCGACTTCTCCGACATGGCGGACAGCTCGTGCAGGTCCCTCGTCTACGCATGCCCGGTGCTGGCAACACCGATGCATGCCTTCATCCACGACGTGTCCCCGGGCCTGGCAAGCCTGGTCGGCGCTTCGTCAACTTCGTCTTCGTCCGTCTAGCATGCCCGGTGCTGGCAACACCGGTACGTGCCTTCGTCCACGATATGTCCCCGGGCTTGGCAAACCCGCCGCGACGCGTCGTCAGCCACATCTTCTTTCCGGTGCACCACTACTTCGACACCACTGCGCCCATGCTAACTCGGCGCCCCCTTGCGCCTACGGCTCCACGACGACTTCCTCGACACCGGCCTCCCCGACTCGACATCGACCACGGCATTCTTCGCACGGCTACCTCAACCACGGCTCCACCACCCACGCTCTTGGCTACATCGACAAACGACACAAAGGGCTACCGCCTGCTTGAGCAACCTCGTCGGTTTCCACTCCAGCCACGACTCCGCGATGCATCGACCGTTACGACTGTGGGGGGTGTCCGTCGGCTTTCCTTCGGATTCTTCTCCAGTCTCACCGTCTGCGTCGCTACCGTTATGTCTGCGGGGGTGTTGAGTAACGTGATTGTATTAGGAAGCATAGGTTAGACTAGGAAATATTCTGGCTTGCCTTGTACTCTAAGTAGATCATGTACTCCTATATATATGCCCATGAGGCTCAAGCAATACAAACGACAATTCCACCAAATCCCTCCCTCTCTCTTCTAACTCACATCGCTACCCCTAACATCACTACAGTTTATGCTGGAGCTTGCCTGATTCTGTTTCCCAACCAACACTCCACTTGATTTATTTTAACAGCAAAAAGAGAAAAAGCTTAGGCCTCCTTTGGTTTAGAGGAATTTCATAAGAATTTTAAAGGATATGATTCTTATAGGATTTTTTTCTTTAGAGCCCTTTAGTTCATAGGAATGGATTCCTATTCCTACATAGGATTGGTTCCTATCCTCCACATTTCATAGGAAAATAAAAAAGAGCCTAAACTCAATGAAAAAATTCCTTTGGTGTCAACCAAATGACATCTTGTTTCCTATTCCTACTCATAGGATTTGAGATACATGTCATCTCATTTCCTATAAGATTCCTATTTCTATGATAATCCTATCCTATGAACCAAAAAAGGCCTTATTACTTTCAGGCTCAGTTATGTCTGAACTGCACATTCTCTAGGGCCCAATAATTTTTGTTGTCATGTCGAGCTCTAGCTGTATATCATGACCTTGGAATGTTGCAACTAGACATTAACAATTAATTAGTAGGTCCTTTTGTCTTGGTGCTTGCTGATTGGCGTCTCCTGATAGGCCAAGCTAATCAAGCCAATTAGCATAAAGCCAACCACCAAATTATAATACTCGCATTCGCCAACCATCACTTGAGCTTGAGAGATAAAGAAACAGCCGTAGACATACTCCCTCTAGCCTCTAGGCATTTGGAGAGGTAGATAAGAAGTTGCAACCTCCATTGGCAATTCCACGAATACATCATTCAGACATAGACTCAGAGTCGTCCATAGGTTCGTCCTACACAGACAAACACAGCCATGGTGGAGGACTTCACATGCCCTACCATTCCACCGGTGCCGTGCGGCGCCAAGAAGCTCCCTTCCCCTCACTTCACTTCGCCGCCGCCATGGTTCGTCGTCCCGGCCGACGCGGGAGCGCACGACCATCACCGGCGGTGCTTCTCGGCCGCCGAGCAAGCCGGGAACCCCAACAACGACGTCTACCCGGGGCCGGGGGGCCGCTCCGAGAGGTTCGCCGTCATGGAAGAGCACAAGATGGACATGCTGTGGGAGGACTTCAACGAGGAGCTGGCCCGGGCGCCGCAGCCGTGCCCACTGAGCATGGAGTGGTCGAGCGAGGCGTGGCACGCTGGTGAAGGCGACGGAATACCATCCCAGCATGTGGATGTGGTCGTCGCCTCCGGTACCGGGAGCAGCGTGGTCTGGCGAAGGAGGCTGAGCTTGATGATGATGCTCAAGCTGCTCAAGAAGCTCTTCTTGGCACGCAAGTCCAGCACCACCTCAAGGAAGACGCCACCAAACTGACAGCAGTGTGGATGCGAGAATTATATAGATGCGTGCATAAATCAATCTCAGGTGTATATATAATATCGCATTCTCGATCGATAAATACATCACTTCTTCTTTTCCCTCGTTTGCGCGGCTCTTCAGAGCCTTGTGCTGCTCAATTCTGGCTATGGGTTCTGTTCGATATTATCATGGTTTGCATGTTCATACCCTCCTTTTCAAAATAGATGACCCAACTTTGTATTAACATTTTGAAACAGAGGGAGTAGATTGGAAAACATTTCAGATTTCAGAACCTAAGTTAGTTTGGAAGATTGAAAAGATGATTCACTCTTTCTTCTTTGGCATTCATCAACCATCATGCAAAACATGGGTAGTGCAGGCACCCACTAACAGTTTAGTGGAAATCATCATGGCAGAATTAATCGAGTCACCTATCACAATGGTTTTGCATCTGTGACTTGACATGGCAGCTAAACTCAGAAAGAAGTCAGTTTGAACTGATGAAAATGGCTTCAAGAGATTCCTCATCTTTCCACAAGGAAATCATCCCATCCTACTAGTGCTAGATTTTGCTAATTTATCATAAAGAAACAAAAGCAGCTTTAACGAGATAAAACTTTATTCATGTCAAATACAAAGGATCTCCAAAATACAAACCAGCCTCACTTGCGTAATTCATACTACTAGTGCTTAAGCGGATGATAAACACCCATGGAAGATAAGCAACAAGCTCAGGAATGGACATGTGTGGGGGACGCACCAACAAACTGGTTGTGGTTGGTCCCAACTCCCAAGTGGACAGCGAAAAACAGTTGTGCAGAATGTAATGCACATGTCAGCTTGAGGTCATTTGCAATGCATACCAATCTGCACTTGCTTGGTAGGTATTGCATCACACAAGATAAGATTCTATTCTAGTACTTCCTCCGTTCCGAATTACTCGTCGCAGAAATGAATGTATCTAGATGTATTTTAGTTCTAGATACATTCATTTCTGCGACGAGTAATTTGGAACGGAGGGAGTACAAGCTAAGGTAGTCATGACAGAGTACCGAATTCACCAACGAGAGTAATACCATAATCAAATCACAAATAACCTGAGACTAGCCACAAATGCTAAGCAACAGGATAATGACATCATATGATCTGGCAGATTAACTGCTGACTGGAATCATATCCAACATCCTAATTGCACACTAGCTTGTAGAAAGATGGAGCTAAGTAACTGTTACAGTATCAGTTGACCTTATTTCTGTGCATCGTGTTCATACAAACTTGATTTTTTTTGTACCGTTGAACATGCAGGGCGAACACTAATGCAATTCAAAAAACACTTCCCATATCATAAATGCAGATTGGTGTACAACAAGGCCAGGGTTCACTTATTTTCTTGAATTATATCTGCACATGGGCATAATAAGAAATACAAAGGATAATACAGCTATACGGCAATATCAGTATCCCTCTTAAAGAAATGTGTTGACAAACTCAGCACCGAACAACTAGCAACCACAGCACCTTTCTGCAGGTTGAGGATGGCGCATTATTATTTTTCCCAGTCATACTGCAAGTAGGGAAAATAATAATAATTAAGCCAATCAAATAGATGAGCATGTGACTTCCTTTCATCATATCATAGCACCCATACTGAAACCAAATATGATAGGCTCAACAGGATCCACTAAGTAAAGTAAACTTCAGTATCTACATATACTGTACCATGATGGATTAGAGAAACTGATATCCTGATTAACTCCCAAGCAAACCTAAAATTACCTGCAAAGACAAACATCCTCTGTCAACTAGATTACTTTTTTTTATTCAACCTTCAAATAAAACATAAAACAGTATGTCAGTAGCATAATCAGCACACAATTTTGTATATATAACATAATGGCTAGCCCACTCTATGGTCAAGTTGTTATGGTGCTTATCTACAGTCTCAAAATAGACCACAATGCTAATAAGAGGTTGATTCTGCTAGCCGAATCTGACCATGTGCTGGTTTCATGCTGCAATTTAGTTATGTTGATTACACTGACACTTCCATCAGTCTTGAAAGTATCATATTTTCCTCAAGTTATATTTCTTTTTAGTGCGTTCTTATAGTTCATCCACAAATATATCTAAAATCTTTGGTTTCTCAAGGATATCTATACAGACCTTTAATGAGATGCCAAAGAAGACAAGCTAATGTTTACACCTGGAGATACATAGATGATAAATTATATTTTTAGCCTGTGCCTGGTCTTGATAGATTTATCACATACCAAAGTACACAGTGATAGAAAAAAGAAATTATCTAAGCAAAGCATCTCCTTGTAACCCAAATAGACATTCGAAAAAGGACGTCATTGTAACCAAAGTAGAGACTCACAATGCAGCACCATCTAACAGGTAACTAATGTACACATAAACATAAACATAAAACCTTTCTTTTTCTGTAAGCGGGTTAATGATAAATTTATTCAGATAGAAACCTCAACCACACGATTCCGACTTCTATTTAGAATTTCTAGCTTCCAAGTGCTGATATAGAAACATAGATGGAATTTGTGAACTTGCAGAATTTCAATAAATTTTGTAACTGTAAAGATAAATCTTACCTTTATTGAGTGATAGTCTTATTACATCACTTTGAAATGTTTTTGAGCAAGCCCGACAAAGAACCACAATGTGTTGATTTGTACTCGCATTGCTCACAACAAGATTGTAGTGACTGAATAACTTTCAAACACCTGTTAAAAAGCAAACATGATTAGCACTCCTAATTGGTAATGGGTTCTTCTGACAACTTGGGCATCTTCGCCTCATCCACCCTTGGCGCATGGGCTGGAGGAGGTGGTGCCACAATGCTGCTCGGAGCAGCATTATTTGAGCTTGGGTGTTAACAAGGGAGAAGTAGTGCTTGTATTCTTATGAAAAATCTCCAAGAAACAAAAATTTCTTATGATGAATTAATAGGTGATGCCATCAAAACACCAGCATATAAAACAGGAAATATTGATAATGCTGTCTAGCAATGGTCATATGCTGATACGCAATAAGCACCCGAAACTAAACATGGAGTGCCACAACAAGACCCAACTAAACATGCTCACGCTATCAGAGCAAATAAAAAAATATGTAGGAAGTCCACCGTGGCATGAGGTCATGATGGCTCCCAAATCCCAATTCTTCCTAGGTCCAGCTCCAATGCTTGCCTAGGTCTCCCCAATCCCAATCCCAGGACATGCCCAAGCGTCGAGCTCGAATTCCCAAACCCCCCAGTTACTATCCAGAATTATGCATGAATCCCTTGCAGCAACCGCAAGAGCCAAGAGAAGGAGAGAGGACGGGGCCGTACTTCTTGGAATCGAAGAGGTTCTTGGAGAGGCAGGCCTGGATGTCGCACGCCTCCTTCTTGCACGGCTCCTTGCTGGGCGGCGCCATCTCGCTCCTCCTCTCCTCTTGCTGCCGCCGCTGCTCCGACGGCGGTGTTGGGGGTTCCTTTGAGAAGAGAAATCGAACCAACAAGTCAAAGAATCCAATTTTTTTGAGACATAGTCAAAGAATCCATTGAAAGACGACAGACGGTGATTTTGTAGCCGAGCCGCTGGTTGGGCCGGCCCAGGGTGAGTGAGAGTGGGGTTGGGCTCTGCCCGGCCCATCCCGCGGTCCGTTGTCGTTGTGTGGCCAGCCGAGACCCAGAGAGATAGTGGCGAGGCGAGGCGACTAGCGAGAGGAAGAGGTTTTCCGGCTCCTCTTGTTCAACCGAGGGAGGATAAGAGGAGAGCGAGAGCGAGAGAGAGAGAGCGCTTCGCCTGAGGTGATGGAGCTTCTGGGGATACCACGATCCCTACCGATTCTTGGAGGTAGGACGGTAGCTCCACTTGCTTCATCACTTGCCGATTCATACTTCCACTAGTAGATGCCACTTGCCCACCACCTGCTTGTGTAAATGCCCAGCCGTAACTAGGTCCCCAGTTTACCAGAGTTCTTGGTATCCTTTTGATGCTCATCTAAGTCTGTTTCTGTTTATACGTGTACGGCGGTAACCTGACCTCTATGACATATTTAGACAACTGCCTGCCACTTCTCTCAGGAAGGGTGTTTCCTTTGCTCAGACAGTACCGTGTCTATGGAACACATCATTCCCTAACCTGGAGCAGCTTACAAACCACCGGGAGAAAGCAGAACCTGAATGGGGGTCGGCCTGCACAGTGTGCGACGAGTCACGATGGAGCTTCTATCTCACATGCAAATGGTGCTCCAAAGGATTCACCTTTGCCGGATAGTTTGCTTCGTGATGCTCGCATCCTCTATTGTGCTTCTCCTGCCATGGGTCATAACAAGGTAAGCTATCTCCAATGCTTTGCTGCTTTCACATCTACGTCACAAGTATTATATATATGTAGATGCTGGGTGATTTGAGGTACTAAATTTTGATCAAACTGAGGGGAATAAAGGTTATAGTGTTTAAAATACAAAAGATATCCTATCAATTTTTTGTCGATTGGGCTCCTAATCCAACTATGTTTTGCTACTTCAGTCTTTTAAGAGAATAAGTTACTGTCGAGCTATATTATATACAATCCTTGCTTAGGGACATCCTGGTATCAAATCATATTGTGTAAGTTGTGTGTCCAAACTCCAAAGTGTAAATTATGTAAAATAAATGGTACATCGTAGCATAATCATGACATGTCAAATTGTGTTGTCTGATTTATATCCTAATATACCCTGTATAATGGTATTTAGGAAGCACATCCAGAATCAAACAAAAGAGTGCCAGCAATAGTTGATGCTCTCGAAAAATTGGAGCTTACACCAAAGGTACGTAAGCAACAAAAAAAACTTTGCCTTCTTATACCTTTTGTAATATTATATTTATAAGTTTTTAACAGATGTATTTTTTCCCTTGTCTTTTAAATTTCTCTGTACATATACTTCAGTTAAAACTGGCATGCTCTATTTTTTCCAAAAGTATGCAGTTGCATGTTCTTGCATGCTAAAAATGGACTATAGAAATAGAT